CATGCTTTCACTTCACACCTTGACATAAAAGAAAAACTTGTAGTGTCGTAATAATTTTTCACTGTTGCCATTCGAAAGACATAAAAATAATTACCGCAATAATGAAATAAATGCTAAATTGCAAATAACATCCAAAATAAGCGCAAGTACAAGAAGTGCGAAGAATTTTGAGGTTCCGTGGCCCCTAAGTGCATTGGAGTTGCAACAGATTCTGTGGTTGAATGCATCGACAATTTTAATGAAATTCTTCCTTTTTAATGAGAATATTCCGTGGCATATATCACATGAAGAATTTGTATGCAAAATGAATTTTTTTTAATGCATTTGAGTGTAAAACTTATACAAATTTGTTAATTTACCATAAATTGTTTGATATTTGTTTACTTAACCAGCAGATAAAAAAATAGAGAATATTATTTGATATAATCGGAGAGGAAATATGCTGTTTGTTTTAGATATACACTTTATACATATATACATATTTCCTTTTTGTATCTAATGTTTGATTTCAAAATTTTGGATTCATGCCAGTCGTAGCCAATGTAGCTGTGATTTTATGATAGAGTATATTTTTAAGGGCACGCAGACGTGATGGCATCTCCAAAGAATTCTTCAGAATTCATAACATAAAATAATTACAAAATTAAAACAAAAAAAAATTCGTTGAGTTATGTAAAGAGCAAAAAAAATGTGAAATGGTAGAATTTAAATAATATATTAATAATAATAGCGTATTATAATTTAAGGGCATATGTTTATTACAAGATTATTCGAAAAGGAGTTTTGTTTTTTTTTTATGAAAATGAAAGACAACTTTCTTATAATGAAAAAATTTATTATTGAAATAAATATTTATCTTTCTGGTTCAATACCTTTTTCTGACAGTAGCATGGTTCTACGCTCACAGAAGCATTGTTTTTGTTTCGAAAAAACTGGTTTGATATTAGGTCTTTTTATTTGAAACATACGGATTACCGTCTAAAAATTGTATATAGACTGGAATAAATAACAATGAGACAGTAAGTTATCTTTATCTTTTTCCATAAAGTTATCTTTATGGAACACTACAAATTCTCTATTGATCAATTCTGATCTTTTCTGTTTAAATAAATAATTCAAATTGTTCATTTCCTGACAGGACACTTCAATACACTTCGTGTACTGTCCAGTAGAAACTAAAATGTCCTTTTTCTTAAATCCTATCAAACAAGTCATCTTGTTAAGGATGAATATCGGCTTTCGAAGATGATTGAGCCAGTTTATATCAATATTATCTTTTAACATTATTGTAGATATCCTGTGTCTGGTTTCCAGTGATGAAGTGTTTAAAAAATGAATGATTTTATTTATATTTATAATATTTAAGTTTTGATTTTTCATTGCTCAATAACTACATAACATAGATATGAAAATTGAACACACTTGATAATTAAAATAAATATTTTAATATTATTAAGACTACTTTTTTGGTAAAAAACAGTATTTTCAATATAAACAACATATTGGGCAAAATTGATCTTTTAGGTCTGGGTCCATTCATAGCCTATTATTTAATATTACTTCATTGTAAATAGTCCTAACTTCATCATTAGTAAATAAATTGTAATTTTAAATTGCCTTGCCAGTTCATAGGTAAGGACTGATTCTATATAATGATCTTCACTTTTTCTAAACGCGATGTAATACTTTATAATTGCTGTAAGATCAGAAGACAATGCAATATTTCATTGAACTACAGAAAGTATTAGCCTCTCTATATCTACTTTGAAATAATTTATATCTGCTCGATACTTAATTTAATTTAAATTGCAGATCTCATAGTAATTATCTTAGGTAAAATGGAAAAGGATTTTTCTCTGTACTTCACAGAATCTTGCAGTGTTTGTTTGATTTTATCTCATCTTTAAAAGGCGATAGTTAAAAGAGGCGTGCCCAGTTAGAAAATCAGTTGTTAGATGCTTATTCAAATCATTTTATTAGTAGACCGGAATGAGTTTTAGACCTAAATCTTTGCAAATAAAATGTGGTGCATATTTCCATGTACAGATTAAGTCTGATAGTTGGATATTCCATAGAAAATTTTTAGTAATTAGATTTTGTTAATAATGAATTCAACCAAATATTTACTGGATCTCAAGTCATCTTAGTTAATCACCATAGGATTAAAACAAAAATGTTTAGTAGATATTTACAATATTGTTTTTCTCTTAGTATATTAGTTTGGAAAGAAACAGGAATATGAAATGCATTTTGTTATTTGTATTTCACTAAAACATTTTTAAAAATTTTTTTAATGAATATGTATATATTTTATGTATGAAAAACATTTAATACATCAGAATTATTTAATAACTGAGATAATTATACTTTTTTAAAATAATGTTTTATTAAGAATATATTTGTCTATGTAAATTATATACAAATTTATTGTAATATTACATACATATATACATAATGTACATAAAAATGAAAAACGTTTTTTACTTGTCGTTTCGTCTATCTTTTTTATTTCACACAACTATAGCTGTGCATATAGTAAATCTTCCTTCTAAAGACTTTTCAAACAACTATGTATATCTTACATAATAATAAATTATATTTCTTTTCTTTAAGACCACATAAATAAGTATACAAAATCCTTTTCAAATCTCATATTTCCGATTTCTTTGATGCAGGCACATAGTCTCAAAAAAAGAAGCTACAAATTCTGATTGAAATAGATTAAATGGGTTTAAATATGTTAAAAAGAATGTGACAATTAATGA